AGGCAAGCCCCTATAGTTAATTACATCTCAAATGACTGGAGTCACTTGAGAAAACTCTCGATAATGATCAGTGGTTCTAGTCTTCAAGATTTCATAGTTTAGGTTTTCACGGTAGGACGTGGAAAAACAAGTGAGAGTGGCTCAAGTAAGAACAGTTCTTTCAGGAGTTCAATGGAAGTAAAGGGTAGGGGGCGTCACAGATCTTGAGGAGGAACCTCAGTGACTTCCCAAACTATTCTACTGTGTGGCTGCATTTTTAGAAATGATGTTATTCAATTATTCAATCCTGCCAGTTTTATTATTTGGGACTTAAACTTGCATAATGTCTGATTATGCAAATAGCCCACAGATATATGAGGGTTTACGTCGTGTCACACGACAACCTCGGGACCTATGGCAGTGGACCTAAGGCAGTTAGGACTTACGCTACACAACATGGTTGTGCAGGAGCCTAAAAAGGGAGTGTGAGGATTTACGTCGCGCTAGACAAGCTACCTCGAAGTCCTATGGGTTATTATTATACTAGGAAGAGATAATGCTGAAGAAGATCCTCTTGTTGCTCACTTCAAGCTCCTCGTCCTGCTGTCCACAAAGTTGGCTCCAAGCTCTTGTCGTCGCAATGGCTCCAGGGTTTAAGTGTTTGAAAATTATAGTTTATGTTTCACAGTTTTGGTGTCAAATTGTCAGTGTTTGGTTTTGTCTTGTTTCAGTTTTAGTTTTGCATGGAGAATAAGCAAATCGCAGGTAAATAAAATGTACTTGAAATGTAAAATGCAATAAAGTAAAATGTTGTAAATAAACTGTAAAAACGTACCTGGGCATCTGGGGCATCTGCTACTATCTGCTACTGTTGCGTTATTAATGTTGCGAGCATAGTATGATTCGCAGCAGATTTAAATAAATTTCCAAGAAAATTAAATAAAGCAAGAAAATCCAATATGAAAGTCATAAAAACGAGTAGTAAAAATCACAAGCAAAAGAAACATATAACTACATATGAAAGATCAGGACTAGGTATAAGACATTGATAAAAGTGGGGGCTCAGAGCTGGGCTGTGTGCTTCCCGACCTTGAACAGAAGTTACCGGCCCAACAATCTACAGAAGGCAGTTCTTAACCTCAATCCAAGTGACTAGCCGTGGACCTTTCTCGCAATAAACCCCAAAATAACCTTTAAATTCATCTCGAAACAGTATGCAAACTTCTCCAAATCAGTCAATAAAAAAAAACACTTATAAACAGTTCCAAAGCATTATTAAAACGATGTCAAAATAGTTCTAAAATCAGCCCCTTGAGAGCCACCAAACAAGCCAAGTAGTGCACTCTCGCAGCTACCAATAGGCCGAATCACTAAAAAAAAAACAACTACAACAATTCCAGAACATAAGCTATCCCAAAGCTCAACAGGTGCTAGATAAATAAGTTCATGAGAGTTACTGCTATGTAGGATTTGAATCCCACATACATTTGTAAATATGGATAGGGTGGCATGAATATAAATATTAAAGTTCAGGTGAAAGAAATGTAAAAGTGCAGCAATTGAATTATACGGCTATAAATATAAAACCTTAGGTGTTGATGTGTAAATACAGAAGTTAAGTGGCCTGTATGTAAATCTTCCTAACTCTTGATGGCATTGTATAAATAAAATAAGCAGTATAGGAACAAAACAAGACTTCGTTACCGAGTTACTGCAATCACTGAGGTTCTGCACTCCAAAGCTTTTCAGAAGCTATGAGGAGTTCTGTGTCGCTTCCTTTTTTTGCCCCTGTGGCCACCAATTTGGGCGAGAGAGAAGATCGGCTTCGGGTCGCAGAGGGAGGCGGACGGGGAGGAGCGCTTCCTTTTTTTGCCCCTGTGGCCACCAATTTGGGCGAGAGAGAAGATCGGCTTCGGGTCGCAGAGGGAGTCGTAGAGGGAGGAGCAGACGAGTCTTCCTGTTCGCAGAGGAACGTCGGAGCGGGGTTTTCAGGGCAGGAAGAAGAGGAGGTGAGCGAGGCTTCCTCTGCGTTGCGGAAGAGCTCACGAGATCGAGCGTTTGTTTTTTTTTTTGTCGCGCGCAAGAGGGAGGAGCGGACGAGCGGGGTCAAGCGGGGA